CACGTTTAAAAAGAGTGGGATCACTCATTAATTTTCCAAAAGCTAATCAGCGGAGTTCCTTGTGTATGAGATAGGCTTTTGGAATTCTGGTTTTCACTTCCCCAGACCACAAACAGAGCAGCATTGTGGTTGAATCGATTGAAAGACTGCTTAAAATCGGCGCTAGATAAATTATAAACAATTAGGGTTACCTGTAATCGACAAATTAGTAAGCACTTTGTGCTATCCTAATCAGGTATTATCACAGACCAAATATGACTCTGGGAACTTACTTACCAAAGGTAATGGTAATAGTGAGTAAATAACCGCTCAAACTTTATTATAGAACACTGGTGAGCCAAGTTCATAGTAAAAGTTAAAGAAAATCTAAAAAAATATAACTAACATTGCTTTTATTTTTTTACTTTGTTGTTTAAATTCCCCTTCATTTATTCCCTTTTACCTCGGAAGGAAATCATTTTTTGCATTTCATTCACTACAAGTAGCTTTTTTTCTTCTCAAGGTCACCATTTTTGAGTGAGTTAGTTCCGTTATTGTGGCATTCTGCGTTAAAAGCGATCGTTCGTGTGTTGTTCACTTTGGTTTTCTACAATGATCCATTCAAATTAGACATTATTCTCGTCTCCGATTATCTCTTTTCCACTTCAAAATCTAAAAAGAGCCTAACTAACCTTAAAGTTGCACTATTATTTTATATAAAAATTACGTAGAAAGTATTTACCACCATAAGTAAATGCTTGATAAGCTTTTAGAAAGAAAATGAACTATTCTGGGATTTGCTTGAGGTAAAAGGGAAATCCAATAATTTTAATATGAGTGAAAAACCTACTTTCAGGTTTCCTTAAATGGTGATTGTAATTTATTGAAACTTTTCTCGATTTCTCAGGATTTAAAATATTTTTTAATTGTTATTTACCAACATTTTGCCCACGTCGAGGCAGCATCATGTAGCACTTTTAAACACTCAATAAGTAGAACTTAGAAACTTTCAGGTTTTCATTAAAAGTTACTCATCATTTTAACGTTCCAATGAGATGTGAATGCAAAATTATATTCTACTATTATGGGGTGTGCGATAGACTTACCTCCATGTGGTGCACCCTGGGCAACGTATGATCATGCGGCAAAAAAGTCTTTTTTTGGCAGTTGACTTCTGACTTTAAACTACCATCACTCCACTGTATGTCATATTCCACCACTTTCACAGTACTTACTTCACCTTTTTTCTACCTTTGTGTCTGTCTCTTTTACATCTTTGAAACACTATTCTGTTCCCTCCCCCCCCCTCTCGACTTTTTTCACTTTGATATTCCTTCCCCTCTGTGAAGCCTGAAGTCAACTGAAGGGCCAATGATAACTACCAAAACGCCTGCCATTTGATATAAATATTCTACTATCACAAATGTGCCTTTCCAACACTAATGCTCCTTAAATCTGAATCCCAATCGTGTTTTCAAGTTTTAGTGACATTATTTGATCAAATTCCAAACGAACGCCTCCGCACTTAGGTTTTATCAATAAAAAAACTTGTTTCTAATGGAAAGACAATTTTGGAATTTCTAAATTAGGCCTAAAGATAGACTCCATAAAAGGAAGATTAAAGGAAACCAAAATCTTTCAATCCTGTAATTAATTTAAACAATGTTATCTGAATTATCACGATAACCATAGCCCGAAGGAAGTTATATTTAGATCCATTCTTGAAAGGAATTGGACAGCCGTTGTATTTGCTCATTTGCGTCATTCGTTAGGTTAGTTTCACAAGATAAATTTAATTATTCCTTCATCAGATTTAGCGCAAACCTCAACCTCTATTGAAGCAAAAAAGTGATAAGCGTTTTTTATGAAGAAATTCCCGGTTTTGTTTGCTCCGTTTTAGACCACACTTAGTCTCAAAAGAATTAAAACAGGAGAGTGTAAGCAAATTGACTAAGCTTGTCGCTACTCCAGTAGCCAATGAACGCAAGTTAATCGCATTTCAAGGTGATAAGTTATTTTGTTTTAACCGTTTTACATACAAATGTCATAAAATGAGGAGAGAATCCTTAAATATCAATTACCGAATAGTCTATTACTTAATATGTAAGATTTTCAGAATATAAAAAAAATGTTAAATGGAAGAATGCCAAATGAGAAACTGTTAAGAAATGCTGGTGCAAAATCTATAATGGGTATTAAGCAATAAACGGCATTTGGCCATTGCTCTACTTAAAAATTGTAAGTAAGACATTACAAAGAAGAAATATTTCGACAGCATAACTTTTCATTTGTTGAAGCGCTTATTCGCATATATTCAAGAAATTATTAATAAACTCCCAGACATGGGGAGATTTGCCACCCCTCTTGATGATCTCTGACAGTCATTCATCACTGTCTTTGGAATCGACAGCACACATGCTCATACTTTTGCGGAAAATGGTATACGATTTCTGTAATGAGCTGAAATGTCCATGATAGAAACCCACTAGGGTACAAAGTTCTCCTCCCAGTCCTAAACTATCCAGTGTTAGAAGACGGGAGAGCAATTGAGTTTGTGTCAATCGGAAGCCCAAAAAGTGGATATGCTGAAGAAGTTAGCTTAGAGCAACAAAGATAGACCGACACAACGAACATCAACCTGTAAAAGAGAAGATTAAAGACCCTTTATATATCAATTTTCTCCTCCTAAACCTATGAATTTTAGAGTGCTCAACACCCACTAACTCAGTCACTTTAGCAATATGCCAATTGCGCAAACGAGAAACCCACTAATAAAACATTTTCAAAGACAGAAGTGGTAAAAGTCGTAAGATAATCAAAGTAACTTTATTTATCAATTGAAGACAAGGTAAAAGCATCCCCACTTTATTGCTTTACCCGAAATTAAAATCTTCATATGAGCAAATCATAAATTATAAATGCCGACTGCATAAATGCAACCTTTTTTTACCAACAATAATATGTATTTAAAAGAAGGAAGATAATTAAGCAACTTAACGACTGAAGAAAGGAATTAGGCAATTCATTAAACAGCAATTTATCCTGAAAAGAGAGAATAATGTGATAGTCATAAACAAGGAATGGAAAGAATTGTGGAAGTGGGAGGGGAGGGGGGACAATTAGAAAACGGCTTACAAAGTCAAATTTTACAAGAGAAAAACATGTTTGTAATTGAGTAAAAAGAGATGATTAAAGCATATACATGGCAAAGAATGGTGGTAATGTTGTTGTTGATGAAAAGCTCTACAAAATGCCACTTCTTGCGGAACCTAGAATACGAAAATAAACCAAGTTACTTGATGAGATTTAAGCGGGCAGTTATGTGTGTAAATTAATCAATCTAAAAAGTAAATATTAAGAAATTACCATTTACTATATCTGCGATAAGTTTTGTCTAAACTACGGCAACCCACCTGCCACTATTCCTGTGACTTCTTGATCCATGTCAAATCAAATAGGCAAATAATTAAGTCGATGAAATAACAAGAATAAAAGAGTAAAAGCTAAGAGTAATAGCTACAAAAGACGTACTCAAGATTAAGGCGTATGAAATCTATTAGTCTAATTGATTACTAGAGCACTTGACTTCCACTCATGCTATACTTAAAATTATGCATTTTGATTCTATGCATTTTGATTGGAATCAGTTTGTAAAGTACCTACTTGGAGACTAGTTCACGACTTCACAGTTCAAGACTCGAGTTTCACCAATTGCCACCTGGAGGATGGAAAATACACTCCCAGAACAATCAAATTTTACCTATCAAAGGTGGATGAACTACGTTGGTTAACAAGAGACAAACTAATGGTCAAGGTATAAATAACAAGAACGTATGAAAGAGTAAAGACTACGCATGATTAACCTTGTATGCACATGTGTACTAGAAAAGTGCAAATGGTTATCGGGCACTTGGGATTAAATGCTGAATTATAAATGAAGATTTCTAAAATGTATATTAGAGAAAAAAACATGAGCTCTAAAATAGAATAATTTCCGATTACTTAAAGAATAATCTTACCAATAAATTGATGTTGCTATTTTCTTTTGCAAACAACTTACGTTTTTCATTTGAACCATCAAATATCTGCAACTACTCTTAAGGACAAATAATAGATTAACAAGGATCTTTAAAGGAATAGAAAGATTCTAACGATGAATAAATAAGTAAATAATAGCAGAAGGGTATCTCTTGTTCATCGGATTACACCCTGAAAGCATTTATAAGCCAACCATTTGGCGACTTTGATTATTTGAAGACCACAGCTGTTTTAAATGAAACATTCCTAGGTGTTGTCAGGATCACAATCAACAATATTCCTTATAAAATCCCGAATTACACCGAAATAGGGGATATTTCCAACAAGTCATTCATTAATTATCAGGCAGGCGCGAGTCAAACAGAAATGGTCACCCAAAAATTCGTCATTAGTATGACATTTATTAAGACTTTGAAATATCAAAGTCGTAATAACTGTGAAATGTCGAGTTTTATTAGTCACAAATTAGAAAGCGAACCGCTAGCATGTCATAAGGAAATGGGATATCGCAATTTAGTAGCTTGGTCAAAATTTTACATTGGCGTAAAAGGGGTGTGGGATAGACTTACCTCCATGTGGTGCACCCTGGGCAACGTATACTCATGCGGCAAAAAAGTCGATAAACCGGCAGTTGACTTCTGAGTTCAAGCTATAATGACCCCACTGTATGTCATATTCGACCACTTCACAGTACTCACCTCACCTTTCATCTACCTTCGTGTCTGTCTCTTTTACATCTTTGAAAGACTCTTCTGTTCCTCCCCCCCCCCTCTCGACTTTTTGGGATTTGATGTTCCTCGCCCTCTGTGAAGCCTCAAGTCAACTAAAGGGCTAATGATAACTATCATAAAGCCTGCCATTTGATACAAAGTAACATGATAACTATTATATACAATGAAGCTATCAGCATACAATCTTACCCACTACGCAATAATCTCATTGGGATGCAGAGAAGCCGACAAGGAAAATTGAATATCGCATTATCACAGAATCGGATTTCCAGAAGCCCTGAAAATGATGCGACTGCGTAATTTCGGCCTTCGATGCATAAGGCAGATTGAACAGCAGCACAGGAGAATGAGAAAGCCAAAGAAAACGAAGATGGCAATTATTGGGGCCAGAATGTAGGCATAGGAGAGTTTACATGAGTACCAGTAGAGGTTGGAAAGATTAGGGGGACAGTCAGACCAGGAAACCATCCCCAGACGAGATAAGGGGAAGGGAATGCATTTGTTTGTCGACTGACAGAACATACACTGGAGTAGAAAAAAGGTGTATAAGTAATTGAATTAAATGTCTGAATAGAAAGGTTTATAAGGACATTTGAGAGGAAGTAGTGGTGTGTGCCGTGAACCCTGTTATCTAACAAGACTTCAAGTACGCGCGAAGCTTAACCTTTTTATTCCTCGTAATTCACCAAGTTTTTTAGCTCTCCTTACCGTTTTAACCACCCAATAAGTATTTGAAACCATGCTTCAATTGAACCTTGAATATCATCTTTTGTGATTCTCCAATATAACGCTATTTACAATAGTTCCATCTAAAGGTCTGCAAGACACATTTTAGCTATATGAATGTGAACAATCAAAAATAAATTGCGCACTGTACTTTTCTTAAAAATTTGTCATTTTTAGCAAACAAATTGTAAGGACTGGTAAATGTGCGGCTGCTGAAGCAAATACACGCACACACACACACACACGCACGCACGCACACAGAGAGCAAAAGCCAAGTCCTTGGAAAACTTCATCCAGTCCAATTCTCCACCACATATCCTTCTAAACTAGCTATCAAGAGAACCTGTCTTATGAAAACAGGTTATAAAGGACAAGGATAAATGTTCAGGATTTAATTAGGTTTTCACATTTCAAGATTTATTTTGGTGAAAGTAAATCATAGTGCTTTTGTAACTGTCCCACTGTGCATCCGAGATGAGAGTAGGGACACCTACAACGCTGCTTAGTTCCATTGCGTTATCTCTAGAACTTACCAATTTGTATAAACAAACAACTATTAAACGTTTCAAATAACTTCTTACTAAACACCATGAAAATTCGGGAGCAACCACTGGCCTCTCGATCGTTAAGCACCTCCACTCTCAGTTTTGAGAATTAGTGCTGTTTCAAATTAGGAGTATGCTTAACAAAAATTCGAAATTTCACTTTACAAATAATTAGAATAAGAGGTTCAGTTAAAATAGCTAGATAGCAAAGCAGGCACAGATAGGTATTTGAGCTTGTATTTTCGTACGAAGTTATAGAAAAAATTTTAGAAACTGTTGATATCTTCATTAGTCGCCATGGTGTTACACTTCCAGTTCAACAAAAAAAAGCGACATAGTCGTAACTAACAAAAACAAGAAGGAAAAAATTTTAAAGTAAAAAAAGGAAGGCAAACAACTCTTTTTTTCACTAAATACCACAAAGCCAGTAAGCAGAGCAAAATGAACTCTAAGGGGAAAAATCAGGCACATTCGTCTGGTCAATGCAAAAAATAGACGCAAACCGTCACAATTCTCTACTTCACACAAAATAATAATCGTAAATAGCGAAAACGAAGTCGGTTAAAGTTATACTTTAGAAAGTGACACAGAACAAGGAAAATTTACGAAAGAGGGCCAAGACATTTTTATTTACTCCAAGTTTATCCTCAATATTGGCATGCGAATCGCTAAGAAAGTGGGACACAGAAAGGATTATGTCAAACACTAAAGAGTATTAATTGGTAAATCAATCGTAGCCTAACCAACATGATCCAATAATTTCCGCAAAATTTAAAATCTATTTTAGGCCACATGAACGAAGATAGATGAAAGTTTTTGAAAACAAGGCGTTATACAAAATAACTAATCCAAACAGAGAAGATACAAAACCAAATGATAAAGAACTTTGCTCTTTATACTGGATTCGTGACGCAACTGTTCGCCCAATTATTGGTCCTGAAAACCGAGGAATAGGAAACGTAGGAATAAAATCCGGCACCTGATCAATTTGTCTTAAGTGCCATAACATTTGAGATATTTAAATACTGACCCTAATTATCTCCAAAAGTGAAATAATTAGGGTTATTGAATGCGCAACACTGTCATGGCTGAACAAAAATGTCATGCGCGATCAGACCGAATCAAAGTTGCGACAGTGCTACTAGGAGACAAGTGCAGTAATGAGAGCAGAGACCTCTCAGGCAGCCACCGATCAATAGTTCATGTATTGTTTAACAAACCCTTCATTGTATTTTAATGACCAATCTCCCTACCAGTCAAACGCGTCCCAAGTAAGCGAGATCCATGCCATACGTCTGTTTTCTCTTCTATTGAGGTTGCCGTAGCTAAACCGAGAAGGCATTCCAAACTAGAAGAACTTGCCACAGAGATTACTGAGCATAAATCAAGGCTTATTAGTGTAGCAAACCGCTGCACGAAAACGATCCATTTTCGTAAATAAAATTAAGTTGGATTTGGTAAAGAACTAATACTGAGATAATAGTGGCAGGCAACCAAATTTGGATCGATCAAAAGTGAAAATGAATTAGCTAAAGAGACTTCTGTATTTTCTTCACCAAAAATTGATTTAAATAGCATTAAAAAGTGGATGACAATAGAAAGGTCGAATTTCTCAAAACGCGCGGAGGTCAAGTTTGTCTAAATAGGAAAGGAAATTTTCAATCCAGCAATACACACATTGTAGTGATATACAAAGAATGTTTGCTAGGAAGAGAGTTAAGGGAAACCCGTATAAGGAAGAATAAGCTGACATATTAAGATCAAAAAATAAACTTCGCACAGCATATACAATCGTACGAAATAAGCTCGATTAAAGCAGCTATTTTTCACATTTCACGTCATAATTAAAAAACATAAATAAAAATACAAGTGCTGATTTAGAAAAAAACCTAGCATAATCAATCTCCAGTGTGTTCAAGGGTTATCGCCAAACACGTTGCGCAAACAAAAGGTAACATTAAAACCTGCCAACTTACTGTCGCGTTAGCCAAACATTGTTCGCATCCGAAACTTTGATCGCAAGGAAGTTTAATTATACCATTTTCAGGGAGCATAAGTAAATTACGGATATGTGAAGACCCGATAACATTAATAACAGAGGGAAATATATTAAAGGGTTTGCAAGTAACAGCTGCAAAAGCGCGCGGTGACCCAAGATAAAATAAAATGTCAATTGAGCAAAAAATATCCTGATAAAGAATTATAACTTTGAAAATCGAAAACTACGATTAGTAGTTAATTCACAAACATATCCGCGAAAAATAATCAAATTATATAATATACTGAACTTTGGAAAGCTAAAATTTTTTTAGGTATCAAAACACATAAAGTGTTTATTTTGCAATTTGCCGGCATGGAAAAGGTTCGTACACCTTAAATTATGCAGAAGATTAAATTTCATATAGCTGCTGCATTCAATGGACAGCATAGATAGTTAAATTTTTAGTGGAACATATTTTATGTGAAGTGAAAATATCAGGAAGATGTCAAAGTTGGCTTTAATCAAGTTGTTTAGTTAGCTTTGTAGCTGAAGTAATATTCAAGGTGCTTTATCAAAAGGTGTTTCAGATTCAATTAAATTAGAAAGCAACACATTCGAATCTCTAACGAATGGCAATTTTAAAACCTAAATTTTATATGGTCAATAAGGTCATTTAGGACCCACAATTTATCATTTAATAATTTGACATTGGGGTGAGTGATAGATTTACCTTCACGTTTGTCCCTAGGCAAGGTATACTCAGACGGCAAAATAGTCTATAAACCGTCAGCTGACTTCTGAATTCAAGCTGTCATGACCCCACCGTATGTCAGATTCCACCGCTTCCATAGTACTTGCCTCACCCTTTTCTTTACCCTTGTGTATGTCACTTTTATATCTGTAAACCATTCTTCTGTTCCTCCTCTAGACCTTCTGTGATAGCTATCACAAACCCTGCCATTTGTTATCAATAATTTAATATTTTAACAGTTTTCGTATTTACTGTATTATGTGCATTATATATACAAATGTTGTTGCCTGACAAAATAACAAATGTACTTAAATTTATACTAATTGATTGAAATGCATTTCGAGAATTGATTGAGTGGGTTCTGAATATGACAGATACAATCGTAATTGGATTTTAGTATCAGCTATTTTTTTCATTGGACCAGGATATTTCTATGGTAAAATGATCAGAGCCTTAATATAAAGTGTTGCTAACTCAGCTATTGTACCTAATTGGTAAGCACAAAGAAAGAAAGAAATATTTGTTATTACTGCTAAAATTTTGAGGTGCACAGCTGTGTACATATATATCAGCTAAGTGAACTAATAGCGACCACATGATACGAAAAATTCCAGTTCGAAACCGACTGCGCTTAATGATAATGTACAGTAAGAGGATGAATTCTGAGAGATGAGGAAGCTCGAGTTTAATATTAAGCAGTAAATCGACCATGGATTGCAATAGATTATGAGCAAAATATAAATAAAAAATTCCAATTCAAGATAAGACTATTAATTCCATTCTACACTATTTAAATAAGTATAATTTTTTGGAAAATGACTAGTTATTCTTATTACAGACAATATAAAGCTATAATCTTCTAATTCATAAATCTGACCTCCAATTTCATTCATTTCATTTGAAAAAATGAACATTCTTATGGTTCTGCCAGTACTAAAAAACTCCGAAAACATGGAGGGGTTAAAAATAAGATGCATAGTAACCAAGTTCTTTGAGAATTATTCTTCTAATAGTTGAAATTGTTACTAGGATAAGTATTGTACGAAAACATTCCAATAAGCTTATACTAAGAAAAATGTGCATATTATTATAAAATTTATATATATTACGCTTTAATCAATTTAATTAAGTATTAACATGTTTGCGCATTTTCAGTGTTAGAATATTTTACAGTTGAGGGAGGGCTTTTTGAGTCCGCTTTCTTTACTGGAACTTAGGTATTTGGCCCTGCAATTCTCATATTTTAAGAAGTATAGCAATAAATCGATATTGTCATTTTAATTAAACTTGGCTATACGCACAACTTAATTATTTAGTCCACACTAAGTAGTTTTATAATAGCTAACGATATATCAATTCAATTTTAACATAATTTTGAATTTTTGCAGTGATTATTTCGAATCGTTTCACAGTTTCAATCTATTTGGACTAATTCATTTAAGACCATAATTTTATGTTGTTTCGTCGTGCATCTTAACCGAGAGATTTTGTACTCGCTTTTTTATTTTTAGTATATTTTGGCCGCCTTTTCGTCGAAAATGTAAGTTTATTACCTCAGTTTTATTAGCTTTAGTGCAATTCAGTGGTACTTACTTTATCTTCTCTAGTGCAATTATCATTTTCATTCCAAATCTCCTCTAAATGGTGCTATCAGAACGTCAGCGAGACGAATTGTAAGTTTGTCCCAAGAGTTATATCAATCTATCTTCAGAAATCAAGCTATTGCAGATTACCTTCGGTCAAATGGCTTCGAACAGGCCTTGAATGAATTTACTAAAGAAGCCAGTTTAGTACGTTTGCACTACTATTTCTTATGCATTTTTATTTTAGAATCCAAATATAGACAGCAAATACGCTGGATTATTAGAAAAGAAATGGATTTCTGTCGTTCGACTTCAGATGAAGGTAATTAAGTTTTAATATTACTGTTAATTTTTATGTAAATATGCTTTCACTTAAGTTGTGCTGATTTCCGGTGTGTATTTGAAAGCCTTTATATTTACATTGAGTTCTTAAACGGTCATTTTTAAATTTTATTTATTCAATTTCTGGTTTTATTTGTATCGCATCAATTTTGTCTATGGAAGAAAAGTTAAACTGCGGGAAATGGCATATCCTATTGTCAAGTTATTTGTTGATTCAATTTTTTAAAAAGGTCGTCATTTTATCCCCTATTTTAAGGAAAACAGGAAGAATTCGCATATTTGTCCGCTTTATATTCTTCCGGTTTTATCATTCGCCTGTCATAAATTTAATTTTATTCCAAGCATTGGCTAAGATCTGTATCCATATTCTTAATTTCCTTTTTTGTATCAATAAAAGAATATTACTTATGTAATGTAAATTGCACTCTAACTTTACTCTTTCAACAAAGAATGTAAATAATATTCTCGTCCGCTCCCCTTTTATATGTAAAAGTTCTTCATAATGCTTTCCGTCACCAAAACTATCAAAAGGTAAACATTTTTTTACTTCTTTTTCTTACAAAAGGACTTCAAACTAAATCTGTATTGTTCATTAATTACTGTTTTATACCATTGATCCTTAATTATGTCATTGTGGCATAGTCGATATGGCCGTTTCATTTCGATTTAGATGTTCGCTGGATACGCTTAATTAATCTCATGTTTGTTTTTGTCTAAGAATAAATGGATGGTACCCTACGCTTAAAACTGAAATGCTATTTGCGGCATCAGCTGGCAATGGTGATTGGCGGGTATCATCAGCCTTGGATTCTAAAGTGTTTTATGCAATGTTTCTCCAATTTTAGCAATATATATTAATTAGCGCAAGTACTTCCTTAATTGGCATAAGAGTAATCCTAGAGGTGAAAATCAGTTTCTAGATATTCAAAGCAAAACGAGATTCTAAGAGTCTGGCAAAATTATCCATAGAACTATCTCGTTGTGAAGGATGGAGCGTAATTGAACACGTTTATTGAACATGAGTAATGTGATGAAGATGGTTAAAAGTTTGAAAAAGGCCTCTGGATGGGTGGGGTCCGGATCGTGCTAAAGAGGTGGTTGTCTATTGAGCTATTATCGACGTATTAACACATTTCACTTCTTTTGTTCATTGATGAATAACTGATAAAAATCGGCTGAATTACTACATTCCGGAGTGTAAATTAATACATAAACACTGCAGATTCCATTTTATGACATACTTGAATAAAAGGATTTATGGGTGTTCAGGTGTAGTTTGTCTGTAATTAACTGTGGCTGGAGACCTTTCAATTGTCTTCGCACAATGTGGTGTTAAATCCTAACCACTTTGTGAGCAATTCGGCTTGCGTATGTAATTGAAGTTTGTTTGGCCCATAGTTTTATTTGAGCATCTGAGTTCATTGGTGTAGTTGTCCTGTCTAAATTCTGGTGACAAGTCATTCTAGGAAGAATATCAACTCTTGGCATTAGAAGTAAGTTGACATTCAGAGCACTTCCGCATGCATGAAACTTTTGAAACCCTTTTTTGATATTATAGTGCCAAAATTAGACACTAAAGCACTGTGCTATTTTACTTTCAGATATTATTCACTAGTTTTTAGTTTTCCCTCTAAAGGCACATTGATTTTCTGTTTAAGGTCGATAAATGGGGTTATTACAGTACTAACTCCTAGAGCGTCTTGTTTCTTGTAGTGCTTTCTCTTATAACTCTTTTCAAAGTAGATTTATGCGGCCTAATTTTTGTCGACAATATTTTTCGGGTTAAATGAGAGCTCCTACCACCTCCCTCTCGATCAATCCCAGTATTATTTTTATGCTGGTTAGCTCGGTCATCATGCTTGGTTGCAGGATAATTAAACGCTTCGATGGCGTCATTTTCGCTTTTGATGGTTTTTCCCACTTCTGTTTCAATTGCTCTCCTAGCAACTAACATTGCTTGTTTAATTTTGTCCAGGTACTATTTGGTTGGATTACTGTTTCTTAGTTTTTTGGTAGTCACTTTAGGTACCATATATTTTACAATGGGCTATCAAAAGTAATTATGCACTTTCTCCTATTGGTTCAATCTCAGTGTTGGGATGGATGCACACTATGATTGATTAACTTTAGTTGGCCGATAGAAGTGATAATTCGTACTTCGCCATTGGCGTTGGCTCCTAAACTGGTGAAAAAATGTACAAGTATTTAATTATGCCTACTTTGTATCTCATAAAGGTAATAGACCTGGAGACAAAGTTGGCCGAGGTTGAACGAGAGAACAAGCAACTGCAAGCAAGTGGTGGTTATGGACCTGTGGGTGCAGCTCCAGGCTCAGGTCTTCCCGGACGGGGTGGAGATCGACGTGGAGGTGCAGACGCCATTCCTCGACCTCCTGCCAAACACACTCTCACCGGTCACCGGTCCACAGTCACCCGAGTCAAGTTCCACCCTCATTACAACGTCTTTGTGTCGGCTAGTGAAGATGCTACGATTAAGGTGAGTCGTCTTGGAATTATTTTCTTAGTCTATAAAACAAATTGATTTTAATTCATAAAATGTCTTAGCTACGTCTAGCTTTACTGTCGCAGCAAATGTTCTCCGTTTACAATAACTAGATGAGCATTGAAATAATGCATAAAGCCCAGGTACTTTTTTGATCCAAATGCGGAAGTCAATCATGCAAGGAATCTTTTCATTGGTTAAATAAGGGCATCATAGATATCGCTCATGGGAAAGAACTATTGTTATCAAGCGAAGGTGGGCGCTTCGTGTCATCCTTTTACACACTGCGTAACCCGTTATCCTTCTTTCTAAACTGGATATGAGTGTGCTCTACATACCTTTTATATGATTGGTTGTTGATGCTCAAATCAACATCGCTGTATTAATGATAGTTCATTTGTTTCGTTTTTGCTAACTGTTATGATAATTAATTTAGTTTACGCGCGCATATTCCTTATCTATGGAAAGGATTATCGTTGAGCATAGATCAGCTACGAGGTTTGTATTTTCTCAGCGTTGTTTTCAGTAATTTGAATGGCTTGCCTCAAATACTGGCACTAGACGAATGTCTTCACCTGTGGAGCCTCGTGTTGTGCTCAAAGTGGGGACTACACAATGCTCCGTTAGTAAGATAAAGATCCGTTTCCCGGAAATAATTTTTAAGGTAAATATGAATAGGTATTTGACTGAAAATGTATTTTCTGTTTTTGTGACACTGTCACCCTTGTGACTTATATTATTTCTTGCAATTATCATTTTCAGATGTTTTTTGCTGTTTCTGTTCTTATTTCAAAACCTTTTTCCTTATATTTCCTCATCTTCAATTAAGACCGTGTTTACGGCACGTTTATTTCATTCCAGCCGGAACGGTGTATGTTCTGCTTATCTTTTGCTAAATGTGGTTTAATATCTTTATTTCGATTATCAAAACGAGTAGTCTTGAATGATAATACAGAATAACGCTATTTGACGGCGTGATTAAACTTCTGCCTGTTTATCTGTTCTCATTTCACCTAATTTGTTGAAATACACGATTGTACAAGCTTACTATTTTAACATATGGTTATACTTTTGGTGAAAATGTGGCTCTAAATCTCTTAACAGAGTTTTCTGGTTTGTATCCAGGTCATTTTAACCTTTCTTTTTTGTCAGGTTAGTTACTTGAGCGGATATTAACCATTTTTCTTGTTTCTTCTTTTATTTGAAAAAAAGGAAGCTAAGCCAATATTAGTTGTTATGTGGCCTTCAAATGACATCCTGTGGTATCACAAGGGTTTTAACCTGTAATACTTAATGCAAGCTAATTTTATAGACGACCATAGGCAAGTAAGATGAATACATTGAAAGCCTCATGAAAGCTCGAAAGTAATTTAAATTTGCCTTTCGTCTGATTTGCGGCCATGGGGGGGTTTAAAAATCAGTTCCATTTCGCATTTGACCCAACTATTTGCAAGCCTTATTATTTATCAATAACATCGTCATAAGTTTTTTGAATGCTTTCCAAATGATTGAATTTCATTATGGGGTCGAATCGCTTTCATTATTCAATTGCTTTTAAGCCTTTATGGAAGTCCCGCGTATGTCAATCGAGCTATTTTCGTTGAATTAATTTTTATAGCCTATGGTGGTCTTATTAAGACGCTTTGTGACTCAGAGAATGCATTCCCTAGTCAATTTTCTCGTTTCCCAATGATGATTATTCTTTATTTTTAGCCATTTTCTCTATTTCTTCTTAGTACAAGAAATTAACACTACATGTCCTTAAACGTTATTTCCTGACTGCCCTAGCAACGCAGGGGTCAATGTATGACTGCGAGTCACTGCCTTGGGCCAATCTTGAAGTATGATTACCTCATTACCAATTCTATATTTAATTCTGTATTTACGATCAATTATGTGCTGGTGTTATTTAGTTTCTTGGCCAAATGCTTTTATAAAAATTATTTTTTTTTGGATTTCCAGTTGTTAGTGATTTGCGTCTTTACAAGACTTAGAAATGTTCAGAATTGTCTGAAAAATGTAAATACGGACGTAGTTTGCATGATTTTATTGGTCAATTTATTAGTCAAAATTTAGATAATGCGCGCAATGAAATTTAATCCTTTTTGTAGTGATTGGTAAATTTACAACCCATTCTTCAATCGTCAATATTTTGACCTAGAATAGCACCAATTATGCTTAGTAAATCTATTCAGTGCATTCGACAACTATAATGTGATAGGTGTATAGAGAAGTGAAAAGAAGAATTAGAAGTCGAACTGGCTCTAGCTTGAAGTAGGGACGTTAAAGAGACATACCGAGTGAAATTGACTGTTCTGTGCTCCTTATCGGGTCGATGAGCAACCACTAAATTCATATGTCAGTTGGGGCAGAGTAGACGTGCCTCATTTCCCCTTTTGATAAATGCTACAGACTTTTCGACGAAAGTTGTTTCATACCTCTATGGCATTGAGTTTTAAGAGAGATATATGCGGGGATATGTTGACAAATCTCTCAAACGAATCCATTGGCCACTCCTCCAATGACCTATTGGGCATCAGTTAGTTGGAATATTATGTTTAGGCATTGATAATTAAACCTATTGCGTAAGAACAGAAAGCTTACTGGGCTCATTTGATACTAATACTGATCTCCTCTCCTTTGGCTTTATTTATTTTTTTCTTTGCACTTTCACGAGTTAAAGCCTTGTAAAATGGCTTTCCGTTTTGCCCTAAATAGTGGTCTGAATGTTTCAAACACTGCGACGCATAAATGCTAACTTTCCCTTACAACTTGTAAGTGCCTTATTAAAAGTATTGATTAATTCTCCCTCTCATAGCCATGCATTTGCATACTATTTTTGCCTTTTTCAAGTTTTGTAATCTGTTGTAGTTTTCATAGAATGCGCGTAGTTTGCAATTTTCTATCATCTTAGTATTACTTGATTTGCCTTTAATGAATAATATAGCTTTTATTAATTTTTCCTAGTGTCGCTTTGTTTTTGCAAGGACCAATTTCGGATGTTTTATATCTCAGTATTATTTTCCCCACCTCTATTTGTTTAAACTGAAAGTGTGTGTTTTGGCAAATTTCTCTGTTTTGACTCTGTGTGGTCAGAGTCCAAATTACACCATTAACGTCACTGTACACATCGAATTCGCGCATTCCTGAGAGTTAAAATCCGCCAATGAGGGGCTTATTGGCTAATTCTTATCTCACTCGCCAGTTTCTTGCTGACTCAGTTGTGCTTTCGTTGAATCACTTTGCCTTAAATAATAGTTGCGCTGTTCACTTGTGGCAGATGGTCGACTATGTATGCTTTCTTCTTATTCTTTTTTGCCTTTTTGGATTATTGTCTTTCCCTTTTTAGTGTTTTCAATTTCACAAAGCTTGATCTCTTCTTGAATATTTCAACATCATTGTATGGAGTTACCTTACGATTAATATCCAGCCTCTGTTTTTTCCTGAGATTGAAAAAAATTCTGATGAATCAATGGTCGAATTAGTTTTGCTCCTTAAGTGAGTTATGTTATGACTCATAGGCGTTTAATATGATTAATCCATTCTATTACTTATTGACTTGGCCACCTATTGTCATCTGACTCTTAGTAATAATGTGATTAATTTAGCACTCATTTCACACATTGTAGTCTCTCTTGTTTACCTTCTATTGAAGGCCTTTCTTGACATCTGTTGTATGAATGCTGTGCAATAACTTAATCACTTAATTAGTCCAATGCTGGTGCCGCCACCTTACTGCCTTACCGTATATCTCTTGTTTTTTATGAGAGATTATTTGGTCATATTTTCTGCTGTTTTACCTATTCTATCCCGTTTATTCAGTCATTTTTTAACGATCGCGAATGACCATTTGGAAAAAAAGATGTACACTCGATGAATCTGCCTTCCATTCCATATTTTCATGTTATCTTACAGGTATGGGACTATGAGACGGGTGAGTACGAAGCGACACTGAAAGGACACACCGATGTGGTACAGGATGTGAGCTTTGATCCCTCCGGAAATCTCCTCGCCTCATGTTCAGCAGACATGCACGTCAAGTTGTGGGACTTTACAACGTACACGTGCACAAAGACCCTTTTTGGCCACGATCACAGTGTCTCCAGTATTTGCTTCCTTCCCTCCGGTGACTTTCTCGTCAGTGCTGGCCGAGACAAAACAATCAAGATCTGGGAGGTTGCTACTGGGTATGTCAGCAGACTTTTTTGCATGCATTAACGTGGAACCTGTCTGACTTCTTTATCATTTTCGCTATTTGATTCTGCAATACTTTTCTATGGTTCAAAATGAATCTATTTTTCGTTGTGTCATTTTTCCTTTGTGCTTTCAATGTTATAATAATTTGATGACACCTGAGAAGGTGAAACAATCAATGTATAATAAATTAGCACCGGCGAATTCATCTTGAAAAGCAAGTGTTGAAGCCGGGCCATCAAGAGTTTCTTATTTTTATAAGAGCGTAGTTCATGTGTAGAATTGTATTCCGTAGATTGTTGACCGATTAATTTAATCTTGTGGTCAGTAATTCTGCCTCGATTTGTTTGTATCCTCCTGCATAAAGGAGCACATTTATGAAATTAGACTTAGCAGTGGCCTTAGCAATTCTTTAAAGATGAACTGCGGTCCAGTATAGTCTTTTATATTTGCAAATTTTGAGAACTCCCTAATTTCGTTTACTAATTTCTACGATTAAATGAATTTTTCCCCAGAATTGCCTCTATTGTTTAGTTTCTGTTGTTTCCGTTTATTTAACCAATATAGTTTCTGAGTTACTTGTCATTCCCGCTTTAAATGGCTGATCTTTTATTTGCAAGGAATTAGTCTACTTTCTGCACTGTATATTTTGTATATATAATTCTGCATTCAAAGAAAGAATTGTTGACAACGATTATATTTAACAAAGATCAAATCTTTTGTCTAGTGATTTCCTTCCTTTACATCATCATCATCATTTTCGCCTTTGGTTAATGTGTGCCTGATTACCATTTGAAGGCGAATTTAAAAGTGAGGTGAAAACTGTCTAAGGAAGTCTACTGTCTTCTTTGTTTATTATGACAATTAATTAATGGCTAGATAATTATATATTTTCGGATGTTAAGACGTTGGCCATTTATTCAGTTCTTTCACATTTGCTCTTTCTTCACTTCATATGATTGTATTTGTCCTTTAGTTGCTTGTAATATTTCTAATGTGTTTGTGCAGATTTGTTCCATTGGTGTCATGTAACAGCCTCTATCCATGACTTCTGAGATATGTATTATAAGGAGTTCATACATTTTAAAACCGTATTAAATATACAAATTGAATAAACGGGTGTGTATTGATTGCAGGTTTTAGTTGCTTATAAAAGGATTGAGCTTTCTGATGCCTTTTTGCTTATTTCTAGCTTTGGCTCTGAAGTTCGTATTCATTTGTTCATTTTCTCTTCACTTCGTCAAGGAATATGAAGATTGCCTTTACGCCCTAATTCTTCTTTTCCTCAAACTTATACTCATTACTATTCACACAATTAACCCCGACTTTTTGAGAGCGCCTCTGGCACTCACACGAGTAGTGTATGTCGTTATTAATAGCGTATCTTTTACTAACAACTAAAATTGATAAAGGAACGATAATGGTCGAATATTTATTTATATCGAATGGCGGGCGTTTTGATAGTTATCAATAGGCCTTTAGTTGACTTCAGGCTTCACAGAGGGGAAGGAACATCAAAGAGAAAAAAGTCGAGAGGGGGGGGGACAGAAGAGTGTTTTATAGATGTAAAAGAGACAGACACAAAGGTAGATGAAAGGTGAGGAGAGTACTGTGAAGTGGTCGAATATGACAGAGTGAGGTGATGGTAGTTTGAAGTGAGAAGTCAACTGCCGGCTAATAGACTTTTTTGCCGTATGATCATACGTTGCCCAGGGTGCACCACGTGGAGGTAGGTCTATCGCACACCTCACATAATGGTCAAACA